GTATTTAATTACTATAAGTATGTGTATTAGGATTACATTGCTGCTATTTATCACTGCTTTCTTGTCAATTAGGTATATCAGTTAATATTCCAATCCTCTCAAAAAAATAAACAAACACAACAGTGCTTTCGTTTTGTTCACCTATACATATATTAAGTCAAATTTGCCAACTTCGTACATCTTTCAATGTAAAGATATGTGAAAAACTAAAAACTTATTTAATTTAATAAAAAACACAATATTGATAAAAAAAAACCATATAGTGTTTGTTTCAAACTAACTAAAACATATACATACAATTTGTTGCCTTTGTCGGTATGTTGTTTACTTTAAACATAATTTTTTTTTTATTTTTTTTTCGTTTAAAATTCACAGCTGCCTTTTCATAATAAGGGGGAAAAACTATATACATATGCATACGTAAATTTGCTTAATTAAAATTTCCTGGAATTGTACCAAAAAACCGAAAAAGACTCCGCTTGAAAGAAATAAGAAACATGTTTTTTTCTTCAAAGGCCCTTTAACCCTTCCTTGAAAAGTTAATAAGAGGTGGTGTCGAGGAACAGTGCAAGTTTATGTAAAACTTTCAAAAGTGGAATACTTGCAAAAGCTCACCATCCCTAAATACCGTACACACGTCACTCATACGCCACGTACTCCAACACAGTATGCACTTTTTCATGCGCATTTTCAATTTGCTTCGGTTCACCGGTCACACCGCTCTGAAATAAAAAAATGCCGAAAATGTATGTAAAAATATCGGTGCAAATACATAAATTCAAGCAATCCAGTGTAAAATAAATCCTGCTGCATGAGCATAAAAAATGTTTTCGTGCGCCGCAAAAATTGGATATGCCTGAGCCGGCTTTAACTTTTCTGGCTTGTTGACTTCTGCTCGATAACATAAACGCTAGGAATTTGAGGAAGCAAAAAGCTTCGCCTAAACTTGAGTTAACGGCAAAAGGTTGTGCGCTGCACATTGCAATCACCTCCCAACGCTGCCGCGCACACATGGATTGAGGCAAAGGCCTCACGTGACAACCGATACACTTTTTTTTGCGCAAAGTATGTAATAAAACGAGTCCCTTTCAGCTTACGCTTTTTGCTGCTTAAACTTTCAATGCGGATTGCCCCTTCGATGTCCTGGTTGTATTGGTTTTTTTGTTACTAAAAATTTCGGTTCTGCGTTAGCAGCGCTTTAGATATTTCATTTTTCGTACATATTATGTAGATACTTTATATCTTAATATGTATGCACATTAGGGCGGTCCAAAAACAGCNCGGATTGCCCCTTCGATGTCCTGGTTGTATTGGTTGTTTTGTTACTAAAAATTTCGGTTCTGCGTCAGCAGCGCTTTAGATATTTCATTTTTCGTACAAATTATTGTGATTCTTTATATAATCTATATATAATTGCTCAGTCATACGACTTAGTTAGCGCGATCTGGAGTAGCTATAGAATTGAGTTATATATCAAATTAAAGTGCAAGCTACAATTGCAATAATCTTGGGTTACCAGGCTTCTAGCAATACAAGATTAATTGTTGGCTTTCGCGAAGTTCTTTAAATAAATTTTGAGCTAAATACTGAGGTATATTCATGAAGATCACGTTTTATTTTTTACTTAAGTTTAAATACTTAGTATCTGCATCGGGGGTTATTACTAGTATACTTAATAACCAAAAAGTACAAAACCTGTAATACTCAGAGGAAAAGTTATTAAACATTATTTTTTTGTTATTAATAGAGAGTTAATTGTTAAAAAGGTTAGTTAAAGAGTGCTTTGAGATATGAGGCTTTGCCAAAGTACCGTCGGTATGTATGTATCTAGGATACCTAAATGTGGATTGTACCTAATTCGCGAACTATTGAAGTGTAAAATAGAACGACCATTTATACCATTAAATGCAACCCTTCCCATATTTTATATGTATAACTTTTGTTGAATAAACATGTACTGCCTTCCGGTTTGAATTGCTACCAAACGTGTTGTGTCTTTTTGTCTCTGCGTGGAACTCTCACATTTCTAACACAAACCTTTTCGCTCTTTCACTATTTCGCTTTTCGGTACTTGAGCAAATTTTCGCTTGATTTTTAGGGATTTAAAATATTCAAAGTATGCCCGTTCCTCTTTACATTGCAATCTTTGGTTTTCCTCCGTTACGAAGAACCGTTTCTGTCGTCATCTGATTTGATTGCATTAGGCTTAGAAAATTGGTTTGTCAACGGTAAGAAGGCGAGAAATCCACCTAAGTTGCAATAACTTCACAATTGTCAAGAGCTTTGCTAACGACTTAAACAAATAAATACTCTAACATACATGCATACATTTATGTACATACAAAAGGCGTGCGCGCGTGCATATTATGAATAAATATAAAAACTCCGGGAAAATTACCTTCCATAAGATATAGAACTGAAAATATACAGAAAAAGAAAGGAAGAAACAAATAAGTAACTCAATAAGCAAAGTTACAATATTAAATACTTAATAAAATAATATTCTGAATAAATTAAAAACAAAAATCAACAGGATGCACAACTTTCATATGCACATACTCAAGTAGCTAAACTGATGTTTATAAAGAAAATAAAAGTGAGGTTAATCATTTTTTTTTTTTTTTAGATTTCGAAATCACCGACTTCAAAAGGGGCTCCCATAGCTGCAGTAAGATATCGTGCGTTTCATAATAAAGAGGATTAATTCAAAATTTTGGCTTTGTGGGAAAACATAATCAAAATAAGATCAACTCATACAGTTTTTATACAAAAAAAAAACAGATGGAAACATATATATATTCGCCATTTTGTTTGACTTTAATTTTCTGTTAGACTCAACCTATTCCTTATCTAGCTTATTAATTGTATGATACCATCTCAAAAACGTGAATTCTGAGCTGACTCTCCGTATTGTTAAACGTGCGATATTTAGGGATAAGAGATACTAGTAAATACAAGTACATACTCGATAAATTTTGTCCGCTACCAAGTAATTTTGGTATCGATGCTTTTGAATCGAGTACTGATTTTTTATCTAATTAATATCGTGAATAGCTTAAAATTTTTGGCAGTTTAGTTGCCAATGAAAAGAACGCCCACAAAGAAAGACCTATTATCATAATTTTTTGATCAATCAATGATTTGGCTTTGCTTCAAACAGCCAAAATGTTGAATTTAAAGTTTTGCGGAATACGTGCTTGAACTAAATATTGGATTTTTCCTACTGCCATGTTGAATATGTTCTTGAAATAATAATGAGACGTTTGCTGATAGTGTCATGTTGACCACTTTGCTTAACTGGCACATGAAGTCGCTGGCTGGCTGACGATTTCATTGATGGCAAAGTCAGTTATTAAACAACGTTGCTATAGATGTAAACGTTCCACAAGAAGAAGAAAAGAAGCCTCGAGTTAGAGTGCCAGTAGCCAAAAAAAAACGCAGCTACACAGAAAGTTCGCACCAAAATATCAATAACGAGCTAAGTGCTAAGTTTTTTTTTTGTTGTTGCTTTTCTTATATTTATTTTCTAAATAAGGTCCTGTGGAAGCTTGAAGGGCACTTTTGGCTGAACTATGAAGACATGACTCAAGTATTTAGCTTGAGAAAAGGAGAAAAGGCGGCATTCAGCAGTGCAAATTTGCCCCACTTGCTTGGTTACAGTCCGCTCTTGAAGTTATTTCTATTGATTTTTTTTCTCAACACTCCTCGCACTTGGATGATAATAAATAAAGAAAAAGATCAACTTGGTGACGTACAGCAGCTTTTCTTCAAAAAGCTAAGTCAGTGGGTGTGTTTGCTGTACACCGTTGTGGGGCAAATTCCAAACCAAAGTAAACTAATAAGGTAAAAAATTCTAGTTTCAAGTTCAAAACTTCCAACTAGCTTTAGTGAGCTCCATCCACGGCTACTGTTTGTGAAAGTACTGGTGGCAACAAATAACAAAAGGAGCTTAATATCTAGTGAAGACAAAAAAAAAGAGAGCAACAACAATGAATAGAGTAAACTACGACGCTAAGGAAATTGGCAACTTTTGCCAGCATTTTTGTATAGTTTGTCCAAAGTTTGCCATTTTCTTGTTTATCAAAGTTCTTTCGCATTTTGTACATATTTGTTTTTATTTTTTTTTGCTTTAATGGCTCTTCTCTATGCCTTAAAATTTTTTTGTTTCCACAATATTCGCCAATGCGGTACGTTTTCCTCATACTTTAGTTCATTGCTTAAAAATTTAGCACGATTTTTTCTTGGCTATCGCAGTTTGGTCAGTTTTACACACCTTTATTTTCATTCCCACTCTTTTTTCGTCTTCCTAACGTCTTTTGGCAATAATTCACGGCTCAAACCCCACAGTAGGAGGTTTTTATTAATTTGCTATGCATTAACTCCAAGCACGCGCACTAAAACTTTGCCTTGGACTAAAGAATACCAAATCCTGTCGCCTGTGATCCTTCTCTCTTTCTTTTCATTTGTCTCACTTCATCGGCTTCCACATTTTATTGGTTGTGCATAGCAAATTTTGGTTTCTTTGCATTTTTCAATCAATAGCGATTTTGACCGCTTTCGGTTGGTTAATTTTCGGTCGACTAACTGATTTCCACATCCAAAGCTTTCAAAAGCGCACTGCATATTTGTTTAAAGAAAGACTTCGAAATTTTCTTTTGCACAACCTTCGCATAAAGTTTTGCGCTTTTTGTGTGCAATTATTACTTTTAACTCACTTAAGCCATTAACTCGTAAATTTTTTGGTGCAAATACTCCTCGATTTATCCTGCATTTTAATCCATTGTCTGACTATACTACGGCGCAACCACTGGGTAGGACGTACCCCCTACTACTTCCAATGACTAGCACATAGCAGGCAATTTAGTCTTAATTCTATCAAATTTCACTTTAAACATTTCAGCCTTCTTCCTCCTGTGTCAAACTTCATTCACCCACACCACACATCTATTTTATGTACCTTGTATTTGACTTTATTTAGGCGAAACTTTTCGGCTTCGCAGCCTGAGCTTGTATTATGTCGATGCATTGCCATGCTTTCGGCATACTGCTTTGCGGTTTTCTATGCCCTGCTTTTGCGTAACATAACCCACATCGAAACTCTTCGTGCCACAACAGCAGCGAAAGTTTCAAGAATTTTCCTTTGTTTGTCATTCTTCACTCATCACATTGTGTTTCTTCACTCTCTGCCCTTAATTCATTCCATCTGAGCGGTGCTCGTGTATGATTAGTCTAGTTTGGTTGTGTAACCACCAATTAAAATAAGTTGATGACTTTAACTTCTTGGATAAATTGCACTCTGCCATATGTTCAACTTATCCTACACAAGTTTTATTAAATTGCATTTCAGCAAAAAAAAACGGCTGCAGATGTGTTTTGTACGGGCGTAAGGGGCAAATTAATGAATGACTGTTAAAGAACGGCCGAAAATGAGTGAAAGTTTGTCCAATTTTTCCCCTAATTCGGTTCTATTGATTACAAGGTAACATCTTGAGAATAGAGAAAATTAGAGCGGCAACTGAGAAAACAGATTGAAAAGTTGCCTTCACAAAAATTCCTTTTGTCTGGTTAGGAACTGAAGTTATTTGTGTTGCATAACCTCTTGAAAGTTTCTGAATAGGCATAAAATTAATGTTAAATGTTAAAAGCATAGGGCAGTTCCTGGCCAAGATTCATCTCAAGTTTTATAATTATCGCCTCTGCCAACTTAAAAGCACAGATTTAAAAAGGGATCTAAATACATATATACATATTTTCCCTTACAGTATAAACTATCTTAACAACTAATCAGCCATGCAGTTTTCTTGTAGTAAACTATAAATATAGCTAGCTTGATTTCCACCAGAAAAGCTTATACAGGGTTCATAATCTCACACCCAAAGTCCTAAAAGCATCATGGCAATATAAATAGTTATTTGGTAAACGTGGGCTCTGTCTCCTAGAGGAATCCTATGAATTTATATGATAAGGCCGTGTTGTGGGGTTAAGCACATTCTCGCTCAATAGCTTGGGAAATCTAATGACCAAAAATTCAATCAAATATCGCCGTGTGCTATAAGCGATTTTTGCCCTACAACACCTCGAGCTACTATGGATGTACGGAGCAATTAATGTCTTCAAAATTAGCCAACTCGAAAGTTCTATGTGGACCGGCCTTTAAAACCACTTCTCTAGGTCAAAAACGAGTTTATTCACATAAATATCTCTCACCTCACCTTTGAGAAATAAAAGTCAATTAAATGAAACTCTCCTTTTTGCGTCCCCTTTTGTAAAAGTATACTTCTTGTTCTCGTTTTCGTTGTTGGTGTTTCCGACAGGGTAGGAGTGTGATGTAATTGGAACGATTTTCCGTCATCCCTTGTCAAATCTCCAAACCAAATTTGACAAGGGATGACGGAAAATCCTTCCACATTACAGTATATTTCTTGTTCTTAATCTAGGTGTTTTTAAAGTTGAAATACAAATTGCATATGATAGAGTGACAGTACCAGTTTTCCTCCATCTTACTTACATTGGTTTCAAAGGATTAATCTAAGGGATTTCCAACACAGATATATTGCAATTAAATAAACAATTTTGTGCAAACGCTTCACTTAATACATCACAAATGTAAAAAAGATAATAAATAAAGCTGTGTTCATTTATTCCATTTATTTGCATGAAATGGATCAAAACAAAGTGGGAAGAGTGCAAGCGTTTTTTGCGAATAAGACTTAAATTAATAAAAAGAATTATTATTATTGGCATTAAGACGCGTCGATTGATACCACTCTCGAATTGTTTCATCAATATTTGACCTGGTCAAGCTAAAGTGCGCTATTACCGTGATTGTAACAAATGTACGTTTACATACTTTTTTTGTCTTTGTTTTGTATTACCAAGCTATGAAAAAGCTTCTGTGAAGTGCAGAATGGAAGCGTTTTTGAACGAAAAAGCCATCAAACACATATCTATGTGAAGTAAGCAAGCCCCCCACTGCACCACTTTTTCGATAGTTCCGAACTACTTCTAAATTCGACATATAAGATCTAATTCATTCTGCACTCCTTTTTCTATAATTCCGAACCAGTTCTAACTTCGTCACCTTAGATATAGGTCTCTCTCCGATGCACTAGTTCACGGTTTCCCTGCAGAGAAGATTTATTTTTATTTGAAATCGATTAATATTTACCCATGCTGTTGGGGCTTTGAAGTTTTCCATGCATTTTACATGGGAAAATAAATCTTTCGTAGAATTGCTATAAAATCGTTAAAAATAAATATATTTTGATCGAATACATATACAGCTCAAAGGATGTGTTTATTTTTTGTATTCTGTTCGATTATTTCTGTGGGTATGTGGTAAAAAATTTTGAGAAATGGGGCTGCCAGATAATTGAAAGTTTAAAATTATTTTAAGGCTCAACAAAATAATTATGTTTCTCCATCATAATTAAAAGCGTTCGAAGGGTTGCCACCTTTCTTAAGAGTACAACAACGATTACTAAAAATTAAAGCTTATTTAATACCAAAATATGGGTATCAAATGGTAGGCTTATGCACTCCCAGCAAAGCTTTTTGAAAATACATACTTTAATTCACATATATTTTTGGAGAGGCTTTCCATTTCCTATAATATTTTTTTTAAATAATGCTACATGCAGTTAAGTCAAGTATGAATTTCAAACAAAAGGTGTTAAAATAAATTTTTAACCCCTTAACATTTCTGGATAGAGTTGGCACCTATCGAAGAAATTAAAATGAGTGCGATATATCGTCGTACAAAAACAAATTTTGGACAATTTAACTTAACTTACATAATTACATACCTCATCTTAGTTAAAAGACAACCCTATTTAAAATCGTGTTAGTCCAAAGCTTATAAAAGATGGCAAAATATATTTTTAAATATCTTCAACGCTTTTAGTTTTGATGAAGAAACTTTAATGTTTTATTACACTGTAAATAATTGTAAATTTTCAAATATCTGGCAACCCTTTATTTCAGCATTTTTTACCACAAATATATAGAAAGCTTCGATTAGAATGCAAAAAAGAATTAAACACATCCACTGAGCTTCTCGTGCGTGATGTGGTTATGAAAACTTAAAATAACTAATTTTTGTATATAACAGATAGGATTATCGATTATAATCGATTACTTCATTACTTCATACTTCAATATTATTTTGAGGTGTATCTAAGTGCAGCGAAGTACGTTGATAAAGATGGATTTTCTGTGTATGTCACAAAATATCTAAGCAACAATATATAGATAAGTAGAAATAAATGAAAACAAATAAAGTAATTTTGTAAATTCTACTTAGTGGAAAATTTAGCTCATTAAAGATATAATTTGATTAGTATTTTCTCCACTTACCATTTTCTTCTTCGATTTTTCGTCCCATTGTCGACGGACTGGTACGTGCACGCGAAGAGAGCGTGCACTGGCTGTTGAGGATGCAAACCAAAGCGATGAGGAGAAGCCACAAAGGAGTAGATGCTTGACAGGACATGTTGGCGTCGTACGAAATATACTGAGCAATATTTAGAGTTGTAGTTGCCTTTGCGTTAGAGTTCAATTGCAGGACTTGATAGATTTGCTATTTTTATGTTTATGCGTGAATTTATAGAGCAGTAAATATTATGGTAGAGTTTCGAGATTTACTGCTTTTTAAAATTTGCATACTTGCCGTACTTAGACCATTTTTTATGGCATTGTTTTTGGCTGAATGTTCTTTACCAGAGAATTGTTTACTGTTGAGAAGATATTTTTGCATACTTTAAAAATATGATGCAGCGTGAGGATTAAGGAAATTATTTTTGCTTTGTTGTAATACTTTAATGGCGAGTTGAAGAAACTGTAAAGAATGAAAACAAAATTAGAAAATACATACATTTAAAGGTAGCAATAGTCAGTATGCAAACAAACATAATAGTTTTACATAAGTATCGCTCAGTTTAATTCCATACTATTTTTAAAAATTATACCATTTTAACTATTTTATGAATGAAAATTGATCGTTTTAAATTGAAAACCTTGAAGCCCTATAAAGTCAGGTTTTCACTATGTCATATTTTGACGACAAAATATGACGACATATTTTGACGCAACTCTATCTCTTATTTTACCTACTATATTATTAGCCAAAAACGGACGAGATGGTTGATTTTATCTATTTATTTTAATCTAAGTCTCATTTGACAATGTGTTTTCACTTATTTGACGACAAATTGCCATTGAATTTGACGTAGTAAAAACCAGTCTTTAGATGGTTTACATATATAAAAATTAGTTTAATTTTAAACAAAAATTTATACTGGCGTGTGCCGAAAATTCGTTTTTTTTTATACTTGGTATAGCTAATTGCAAAAATATGTTCGTTATGTTCTAAAAAAATCTGTGCGGAAGAAGAAAATTTTTGGTCAATACATAACTGCAATTTAATTTATAATTATAATATGCTAATATATAATATGCTTATTATATATTTAATTAAATTCATCACAAAAAAGTCATTTTTTTGATAAAATAAAATTTCAAGTCTCTTCATATTAACAAGTTTTGACTATATATTTTCATATTATTTAGATTCAATTATTTTCTTAAAAAATATAGTTCATTCCAGGGGCGCACACAGGTATATATTTATACTTCTAAAGATATATCACCAGAAAATACTGAAAATTCGCTTCAGATAATATGCTCTTTAAAATACATTCATGCAAGTTTTATGCACAGTATATAATAAATAAATAAACTTTTCCAGGTTTCATAAATTGCACTTTATTTACATAAAATTAACAAAAAACTCAAACATTTTAAGCGACTTCAAAAACGTTTGGGCTTAGTAAAAAAAGTTATCCTACCAAAGATTAACGATGATCGTGTATTTTATTCCTTCCCTAAGAGATTTTAATCTTTAGTCAGTCAATAAATTTTGATGGAAAAATTGGAATTCGAAGAGAAATAACATGGACAAAACTACATTCAAACACCACATGCTGTGCATTCATGGCATTTTATATACATAAATGCTATGTACTAAGAATTATTGGCTAAAGTTATAATTTATGTCCACCGCAAGCAAACAGGCACAAATGTCGGCTGCGGTTTTCACATAACAATGTAAGTTCTGCAAAAAAATATCGTGTAATCCGTGATGACTCCGAGAGCAATCGCAAAGGAGCATGATATCTTTATCCCTTCCTATGAAGATACTTACCCAACGGCTATAAAAAGCGATTAATCTGTTTTAAAAAAATATTTTTCCTGTTTGCCAAAAAATCAAAAAATCTGTAATTTACACCAATTGTATCCGTAACGGATGAGTCGAGACTTATTGATCTCCAGAACCCGTATGGCCTAGTTGCGGTTAACTAATGCCCAATTGTACCCGATATAGATTTTTCGCACGGTTTTTTGCAGGGTCGTTATTTGCTACATGTACATATGTACGTAGATATGTGTTCACCGTGAAATTACCGAACGCCCTGCTATCGTCATTCATGCAAACCCGCTAAAAATAGTCTATGCTGCAGTTCAACCGCCCACCAAACTAACGCTTCCCATCGTCTCCAATTCAATTCAATTTACTTTTACAGCTTCAAGGCTTGGTTTTTTGGCATTTTTTTTGCGTGGAAAGAAACTTTATTTCTCTACTAACGAGCTTCAATATTTGCGAAAAGGTATCTTAGGCTGCTCATAGTAAATACAATGAGAATAAAAATACTCGTAGCAAAAATAGTAACCTTGTGTACAAATGCGCTCGTGTATAAAAATTCGGTTGAAGAAATCGTGGAATAAGCGAATTGTAGAATTTAACACAAACCAATTGTGACATTAAGGGACCACCTGGTTTAAATGTGTCGATGTTCAACTAGTTTTTTATCCACCACAACTAGTTGAAGATCTGACTTTCTTCCTTGGAACGAACTGTTGACTTTAACATGACGATGTCCTAAACATCAGTCAATTATCCGACTCCGCTTTTGATTTCAACTACTTTAAAATTAATTTGACTTAAATCACTACAAAGTCAGTATGCTACGTTTGAATACGCTTTCGTTCGGCACTTCACAGATGCTTTTTCATAATTAGGAAAACCCGAAACTAAAAATTTTAATTTTAATGAGATTTGAACATGGACATTTGTGGCTGCGACCAATTGTAGAAAACATCTTTGCACGCTCAGCTAAGCCAGACATGTAAATGTGCTTTCAAATGTTCAGTTTGAATTGTGTGCACACAGCAAGTCGACTGTCCGACTCTGCCTTTAATTTCAACTACTTTAAAATGAATTTGGATGAAAGCGATGCAAAGTCAGTATATTTGTTTTAGATATGAATTTTCACGATCAAAATAGTTAATTGACCACAGTTAGATGATTTTACAACTAATATTGAACTATTTACAAAGATATGTATCAAAAGTGTAAGTGTCTGGTTTTTCTCAATGAGGCTGCTAGGTGATTATACATCAATTTGAAGTTAGTTGCTACAGAACTAGATATAAATTATTTTTTTCAGAGGTAATTGGATGATGTATACCATACTGGGTAGTTTTATAACTCAACAGTTATCTGCAGCATTTCCTTAAATTTTCTTTTTAGCTTCCCAATGTTGGTTGAAGTTGATGCCTTAGTATTTGTATTATAAGTGCCCTGATGGAAGTAAGAGAATTTTATACCCGAGCGCACTTGCGCACAAGGGTATATTAATTTTGTTCACATAACGGTTGTTCGTAACAGCCAAAACGAATCGAGATAGATATAGACATATATATACATAAATGATCAGAATGAAAAGAGAAATCGATTAAGCGGTGACTGTCCGTCCGTCCGTCTGTCCGTCTGTACGTCTGACTGTCCGTGAACACGATAACTCGAGAAAAAATGGAGATATGTCAACAAAATTTGGTAAGTAGGTTTCCCTTTATCCAAGGTAGGTTTTAGAGTGAAAATGGGCAGAATCGGACAATAACCACGCCCACCTCCTATATAACGGTATTTTCGAAATATCCAAAAACTACGATATTTCCGCAAATACTGGATCCAAATTGTTGAAGGTTGGTATGCGAAGTAGCAATTTGGCACAAAATAAGACAGTTATGAAATTTTTGGAAAATGGGTGTGGCCCCGCCCACTTATGATAAAAAGCTGTATCTCTGTAGTCCCTTTACCAATCCCCACCAAACCAAAACACTTAGGGCTTGACTAAGAAACCTGTTGAAAATTTTTGAAATCCGACAAGAACCACGCCCACCTCCCATATAACGGTTATTTACAGAAATACGAAAACTGCGATAAATAAGTAACTATTTAAGCTAATTTACTCAAAATCGATATATGCAATAACCTCTTAGCAGAAAATTATAATTAGGGAAATTTTTGAAAAATGGGCGTGGCACCGCCCACTTATGCCTACATTTGCGTATCTCAATAACCGGTTTACCAATTTCTACCAAACTCGGCACACTTATCGACCTTGGCGTGAAAAAGTAATATGCTGAGAATTTTTGAAATCGGACTAAAATTACTGCCACTTACCATATAACGGTACATTTCAGAAAAACGAAAACTCCAATTTTTTAATAAGCTAAGACGTCAACTTACAACAATCACTTAACAAGACACAAGATGATTGATTATAATAAGTAATTACTTACTACGTATATGGATATTGATAACCGCCCTACCGATTTCCACCAAACTTGGTCCAATTATTTTAATAAATCATAGTATATTATCGAAATGTTTGGAAATATACTCTTGCATATCATGAAGTTTACTGAAAGGTGAAAGAACGATATTTAATATGTGCGCCGGGTATATATAGTATCGGTTTCGCCCGAACTTATACTTCTTTACTTGTTTTTTAATCACCTAATTGAAGGACTACTTTAAAACAAATGCAATGAGTAAATGTTTCGAATTTCGATATCTTTTTTACTCAAAGAAACAATTTATGCCTTGGAAGTATGAAAAAGTATCTGTGAAGTGCAGAACACAAGCGTTTCCAAAAGAAACGCAATTCTACGCAGTTTAAACACAATTCAATTTAAAGTAGTTGAAATTAAAGGCAGAGTCGGACAGTCGACTTGCTGTGTGCACACAATTCAAACTGAACATTTGAAAGCACATTTACATGTGTGGGGCTATAGCTGAGCGTGCAAAGATGTTTTCTACAATTGGCTACGGCCATGAGTATCCATGTTCAAATCCCATTAGGCGAAGCATTTAGAGTTTTAATTTTGGGTTTTCTTAATTATCAAAAAGCATCTCTAAGTATACAACAAAAGCGAACTCAAACGACTGACCTTAAAGTTGTTTAGTCCAAATCCATTTCAAATTAGATGAAAATACATGCAGGAAAAGGTAAGGTAAGATAAAGTAGTTTATAAATTACTTTTAAATTAATTAAGTTTCCTGCAGAGTACAGTTTCGTTTGAAAAAAATACTCTTTAAAGATTGCTCATACATTGGGCACCACAACTGATTGTCGGTATGAACCAGGGGTGCTAATTAGCTTTTTTCCGTCAAATATGGCTTTTTGGAAGTTCATTTAGCGACAAGAAATGAGAAATTGCTGGAAGCCAGGAAATCCAGCTTTTTGAGAATTTTTTTACGGATTTTTACATTTCTCCCCTATACAACTCAGTTCATACATACATATTATGTGTTCAAAATTATAAGAAAATTTCGATTACCAGATAATTTATATGCGATTAACCGTTAAAAGGGGGCATAAAGGTAAATGATGTTTTTTTTTAAACACGATTTTTTTGGAAAAAATATGATTTTTTTTT